ATTATCAATAGAATGTGGAAATTCATTTGCAAGATTATTAGAAATGGTTAAGCATAAAAATTTTTTTAATAAATATCGCAATAACAATAATAAAAACAACAAAGAGTCAGCATCAAAATTTTCACAGGCTTTTGGTAAATATGTGCCAACGTTAATTAGTAAATATATAAAAATACAAATTGAAGAAGGTTATTTGGATCAATCGACCAGAGAAGCATTAAAAGCAGGAATCTATTCATTGTTAGATTTGTTTGGTGATTATGAAAGAAACATGTTAATGGCAAATTTAGATAAAATTGGAAAAATTTTATTTAAAAATCTTTGGACTGATTATATTAAAAATTGGAAATATGTTGGCAGAGGATAGATGATAATAAATAATAATATATTTAATCTAGAATGATATTTAGGAATAAATCTTATATTTGTTAAAGAGTTCCTTTCTAATTGTAACTAACTAACTAATTAAAGAAAGACCTGAAAACTAGATAGGTTACTGTCGCATATACAGTTTGCTCTGAAAAAATGTCCGTTATAGACAGTAATGAATTATATATTAATATGGACATATAAAATTCTCAGGTCGTTTGTTATAGAGCAAGATCCGTTATTATTTTATAAAAATCCGTTACAGAGAGAGTGAATTGTATTATCCTGCCTTTTTCATCAAACCATGATTTTTCGTTTATAGTTTGTGAGTTTAGTTATAAAATACTGCCTTTTCGTTTTAGGTGTATAAAATTATTTTGAAATTTAAAATATGATTATCTATTATTTATCCTTAAATTGCATTAAAGAAAAAGAAGTGAATCAAAACTTTCCAATCGATGGTTTGCCATACTTACTTGGTGAAAATGATTAGAAATTTCTGTTTACAAAATATCGTAGCTTGAAAGCGGTTTGATCGGCTTTAGTTTTGCATCCGTTGAGTTTGAAGACATGTGATACACTGAAGATGTTTACAATAATTTATATTGATACAATCTTGGAGATAAAAAATTAAAAAATCTAGAAATGATGTCAATCAATATTAATATCAATATTATCACTGTTACCGACTGATACTGGATTGAGAATTGAACGTAAAACTTTCTAAAAATTATCTTTTTCCAATATTCAGATTTTAAAAATGTTATGGAGTTATATCATTCAATAGTTGGGGTTGGGATAACATAAAGAATTGAAAAAAATTTTTTTTTCGAGTGGGCTGATATTTTCAAAATAAGCCCTACCAATTCCTAACATATTGAGATAAGTTTCTTGACAAAGAGGTGTATTGTAATCTCAGTGATATAAAGTTCTTTTACTAGATCTAGTTTTCTTTTTAAGGCGTCTACTAGTGCTTATTGATCCACCACCCATTGCTTTAAGTTGAGCCATTAAAAATATGTCTTGTTCTGTTTGAAAGGATTCTCTTAATTCTGCAAATTCAAATTAGCCAATCAGAATTTTGTATCCAAACACCCTGCCCCAAAAAATTTAATTTTCACGCACAAATGTGTTGCAAAAATAATTGGCCAAAAATCATGTGATTTAAAACGTGATAACTTTTCATGTAAACAATAAAATTATTGTATTTTATAAACTTGTTTATTTTCCTTTTTTCTTATTCCTGACATCATTTTTTTAAAGTTTGTTACTACATTATTGAAAATAAGGTTATAATTATGTCATCATCAGATCTAGAATCACAACGTCAGACTATCTTATACTTTTGGAAGAAAGGTGCCTATAAATCCCAAGAAATTCACAAATTAACAGGGTTGCGGGTGACGAAACTAATTACGGGCATTGAAATTAATTACGGGCGACGAAATTAATATGAATAACAACGAATTAATTATTGGAAATATCATAATACAAGTCACTCCCGTTATAACAACACTCTCCATACAAACAAAAAATGTCAGTATGACGAGAATGTCATTATAACGGGAGTTCATATAGAATCATTATCATGTGATTTTGTAATTTTATTTTTATTATATATATATTTTTTATTTCATTCATGCTTTATCAGGGAATTTAAAACTTACGCCGGTCAATCTTGATCCCGGTGTAAGTTTTATTTCCTTATGTTTTTTCAGAAATGAGAATGATTTTGATTGGTTCTCCCATTATACTGACATGTTGTTATAACAGAATAAATTCTATAAAATAATATGTGTCATTTAATTTCGTCATTCATAATTGATTTCATCACGCGTAATTGATTTCGTCACCCGTAATTGATTTCGTAATTAATTTCGTAATTACATATTAGTCAAACGATTTGTCACATTAAATGATTGGGAAGTGTATTTTCCAAAATTTTCTGTTACATATAGACAGTATCGTAGTTCATCATATTAACCCATTGGCAAGGAAAATTTATTGCCTGCATGGATATTACACTATATGGGTGGAGTCCCTAAAGTGTAGTTATTTAGTACTACAGAAGTTTCATGTCCACATAAAAATGATGACTTTACATATGTACTGATAATATATGTATTTTGATATAGCTGAAAACTAATACATTATATTTTTATTTTAGTTCAAAGTTTCTTTTGAGGGAGTTTTCAGTCTTCATGATCTTGGTTTGTTAAAACAAATAGAGAGAAATCTCTTAACTTAAATCAAATTAAAGATAATATAGAAATGTAAACTTAATAGATATACAACTCACCTCTATCAACATTTGTGTTCTAGATATCTGTTAGAGAATTATCCTGGAAAGATCCCTTGGCTATCCAGTTATTAGTGATAATTCAGATATTGTGAAGAAATTGCCCAAAGGCTTAAAAAAAGGGTTCATAGTAAATTAATTTCTTATTAATTTCAGGATCATATTTCATATTGTGAGATCAAAATACGCATCTCACACAAATCTATTGATTTGGTTAAAATATTATTTATCCCTTCTTATGGCAGTATCCAATTATGTAATTCTTTGATTACATTCTTTCACTATCGCGCTCAAGCTATTTAATACTTTACAGGGCAAGTTTTCTTACTTCCCTTCCGATAACGCTTTCTCAGCAGTTCTTTGTTATCTGCCTGAGCCGACATGTGTCAATTATTATCTCCTCTGATAATAATCCCAGTATCCTCCTTGATACTGATGTGTTGTGTTTATATAGATGGTTCAGTGTTTCTAACTGACCACACCTAGCTAGGGGTTCCCTCTATTTAGGCATTGGCCTAATATAAAAATAAAGAAAATAATTAAAAGAAAAATACACACACAACTATACTTATCAAAGGCGTCCCCCTGGTAAGCTAGTAATTAATTAATATTTAAGTTAGAGTTAAAGATTTATGTGGTTTTGGAAGCAGGTGGATAATTCCACTGGCAATAGATTATTTTAAGAGATATTTATGTTTGTATTTTATTAATAAGATGTTATTGTTATTACAAGATAATAGTTAAGAGTGAATTAACTGATTTTTTTCATGAAAGAGAAATTTACAACGTATTTATACATGTTAAAGGTTCTATCATCTAGTTCAGTCAGGATTTTTTCCAAATTTGGAATTACCAAATATTGCAATGATCAACATCCTAAATAGTAAATTCGCACTACGTAAAAATTTGATTGGCTGAAATTCCGCCTTTTTCTCCTTTTCTTTTCTCAAAAACTCACATAATATGAAAAAATTTAACTGTTCATAGAAGGTCTCATGG